ACGTAGGGGTTGAGGCTTAAGAAATCTGATGTAAAAATTTGCTTCCTACATTTAAGGACCACCCTAATGACCATTTGTATGGGCCTAGTATCATAGAAAGTAAAGCTTAGCTTACGGAACTCAGGTGATCGAAAAATTTCCGTAATCTTGGAAACAAGGAAACCCATTTTGGTGTCTTTACCAATCCATACCCACTAGGGTGCCCATCGAAAATGCTTTTTTTTGGAAATTTCAACACCCTACCCTCTAATTTTATTCGTTTTTATGAGATTTAGGTCAGAAAATAGGATTTTGTAGATTTATGAGTTTTTGAATAACTATTTTTGATTCGATTTCAAAGAACGACTATGATCTGAGAAGAGGATATATAGGCCTATAAAATGGTATATAATAATCTACTGTCGGACTAGGCTTGTTGGGATTTTTTATCGGGTACCGGGCCACGCTGCGATCGGGCGCAACGCGCGCTATGTGGGACCGCTATAGGGATCTGAAGAGGGAAGCGAGACGTATTTGCCGCAATAAGAAGAGAGAGGAAGAAATACGTGAGTGCGAAGAGCTTGAAATGCTGGCCGACAGGAGGAATGCCCGAAAATTTTACCAGAGAGTTAGGCGACTTACGGAAGGTTTAAAGACCGGGGCGCACTCCTGTAAGAACAATAATGGCGACCTAGTAACTGATGTCCAGAGCGTACTTAAATTATGGAGGGAACACTTTTCCGCCCTACTAAATGGTAGCAGCACGGAAAGTTGTGGAGAAGAAGAACCCGAGCCCGCAGTCGATGATGACGGAGTCGACGTTCCACCGCCTGACTATGACGAGGTACGTATAGCAATAACGCGGCTGAAAAACAACAAAGCCGCTGGAGCTGACAGCCTGCCAGCTGAGCTATTCAAGTACGGCGGCGAGGAGTTGATAAGGTGCATGCATCAACTCTTGTGCAGAATATGGTCAGATGAACGCATGCCCGACGACTGGAATTTAAGTGTGCTCTGCCCAATCCACAAGAAAGGTGACCCCGCCATTCGCGCCAACTACCGCGGGATCAGCCTTCTAAGCATAGGTTACAAGGTCTTATCGAGCGTATTGTGTGAAAGACTGAAGCCCACCGTCAATGAACTGATTGGGCCTTATCAGTGTGGCTTTAGACCTGGCAAATCCACCATAGACCAGGTATTCACAATACGCCAAATCTCGGAAAAGACCCGCGAGAAAAGGATCGACACTCACCACCTATTTGTCGACTTTAAAGCCGCTTTTGACAGCACTAAAAGGAGTTGCCTATACGCCGCTATGTCTGAATTTGGCATCCCCTCAAAACTCATACGGCTGTGTAAAATGACGTTGAGCAATACCACCAGCTCCGTCAGAATTGGAAAAGACCTCTCCGAGCCGTTCGCCACAAAACGGGGTTTCAGACAGGGCGACTCCCTTTCATGTGACTTCTTTAATCTGATGTTGGAGAAGATAATAAGAGCTGCAGAACTGAACCGCTCAGGAACAATTTACTACAAGAGCGTGCAATTGCTGGCTTATGCCGATGACATCGACATCATCGGTAACAAAAACCGCGAAGTCTGTTCTGCCTTTTCCAAGTTGGATAGGGAAGCAAAGCGCATGGGTCTGGTGGTAAACGAGGACAAGACGAAGTATCTCCTGTCATCAAACAAACAGTCAGCACATTCGCGCCTTGGCACCCACGTCACTGTTGACAGTTACAATTTCGAGAAAGTAGAGAATTTCGTTTACTTGGGAACCAGCATTAACACCGATAATAATGTCAGCATTGAAATCCAACGTAGAATCACTCTTGCCAACAAGTGCTACTTTGGACTGAGTAGGCAATTCAGGAGTAAAGTCCTCTCTCGACGTACGAAAACCACGCTCTATAAGTCACTCATCATGCCCGTGCTGGTATATGGCGCAGAAGCATGGACAATGACAACATCCGATGAGGCGGCTCTTGGGGTGTTTGAGAGAAAGATTTTGCGGAAGATTTACGGTCCTTTACGCGTTGGCGACGGCGAGTACCGCAGACGATGGAACGATGAGCTGTATGAGCTTTACAACGATATGGACATAGTGCAGCGAATTAAAATACAGCGGCTCCGCTGGCTTGGTCATGTCGTTCGAATGGACACCGACGCTCCAGCTCTGAAAGTATTCAACTCGGAACCCGCTGGTGGTAGCAGAGGAAGAGGGAGGCCCCCACTGCGATGGAAAGATCAGGTGGAGAAGGACTTGGCTTCACTTGGCGTTTCCAATTGGCGTCAGTTGGCACAGAGGAGAAACGACTGGCGTGCTTTGCTGAACTCGGCCAAAATCGCTTAGGCGGTTACAGCGCCAAAAAAGAAGAAGAAGAAGAAGAAATAGAAAAAAGACCCATATTTCTCTTAATTTTTTTTTAAATTCGACCACCGATAATTTCTACAATCTAAAATAAAATGTATTTTCAAATAAACTGATACCTCATTTATTGCAATCGCATAAAATTGTCGAATTTAGGTGATTTTTCTTAAATACGGCCTTGAATTTATATGAGTGTATGTACCGGAATTTCAGATTTTTTGCGCAGTGTGGCAAAGGACTTCATCAATATTTATTCAAAATTAATATATATAATCGCTCTTTAGCAAAAAAGTGGGTTTTCAAGAAATTTTAGGAAAATGGGTGTGGCACCACCCACTTCTATGATATAGGCGTATCTCAAAAACTACTTGACCGATCTCGACCAAATTTGGTATACACGTTGTGTCCGATTTCAAAAAATTTCAATATGGCACTTAAGGAGCCTAGGCGCAATGTGTTCACCAAATGTTGACATTGATCAAGTAGGTTTTGAGATACACATATATGACATAAGGGGGCGGTGCCAACCCCATTTTCCTAAAAATTCTTGAAAACCAGTTTTTAATAAATATTGATGAATTCCTCAGCCGCTCTGCTCAAAAAATCTGAAACTCCGGTACATATACACAAAAGTCGCCTAACTTCGACAATTTCTATGCGTTTGCAATAAATGAGCTATCAGTATTATTTGAAAATAGATTTAATTTTGGATAGTGTCACATATTTTGAAATTGTGGAACTTATCGATGGCCAAAATTCATATAATTAAGAGAAATATGTGTTTTTGTTTTTACCCGATAAAAAATTCCAACAAGCCAAGTCCGCAAATATATTATTATACACCATTTTAAAGGCCTATATGTCCTCTTCTCAGATCATATTTGATCTTTGAAATCGAATCAAAGATAGTAATTTAAGAACTCATAAATCTACAAAATCGTATTTTCTAACCTAAATCGACAGGGCGCGACCTCTAAATTTATTTATTTAGAGTGTAGGGTCTTGAAATTAAAAAAAAAAAAAACATCTTCGATGGGCACCCTAATACCCACATGTTGCCAAAACCCACAAATTTCTTCTCGCTGATGAAGATGCAGGTAACAGGAGGGAAAAGAAAAATTTTGTTCTCGCTCCAACCCAGCAAAAAAAATTACCTCACTTTTTGCAATGGTATCGGTAGGTCACGGTCAGTATTTACTGACGTGATCCAAGTAGCGCGATATTTATTGACTGTGTAGCATGCAATATTGATGGATCTTGATCCATATCGCAAAATTTCCACAAATTTGGAAATCTGGATCGCGGATCGCAATAAATATTGAAGGTTTAGCTTTTACAAAACGTGATTCATATATTTCGTCAATACATCTTGTACTCTCATAATGTGAAAATCGAAAACATATTCGCTCTACCTTCGCTCTCGGCGCTTAAAACCTTTCAAAACAAATTGAAAGTATTTAAATTAGCATTGGAAATTTGAAAATATATATGAAATGCGTTATCTGTCAACTATTCGTATAAAATAATTGCGATATAATAAGCGTTCAGCACAAAAATTATGCAAATACTTAACATGGAGCATTCAAGCGCGATCCATCAATCCGTCAATATGGATCGCGATCCAAATATCGCGATAATTACTGACCGTGTGACAGAGCCCCAAAAGTTTCGCTGTTATTAACGCGGTATTGTTGTTAACATCATAAATTCTTCAGAGTTAAACATTGTACAGCTTAATGTTAATACCCACATACATATGTGTGTACATTAAGGTGGCCCAAAAATGCATGTGAAAAAGTAAAGTCGGAATTTGTATGCCTCACCCCCTTGGATTGTTATATACCGAAAAAAATATACCCAATTTTTTTTATTTTGAAATCAAAATATTTTTAGAGGTCGCTCAAAGCGCGCAAAGTTTTCCATGTTTTTTATATGGTGGCTAAACGAGTTTTCGTAGAAATGGTATAGAATTCTTAAAAATCAATACTTTTCCATCTGAAAACTATGTTTATCTGCAGGAGATTCCCCATTGTTTATTTAACAATTTTTTCATCGCACCTATAATTTATAGGTCCGCCAATAACCCACAAAACCCCCAAAAATGCAATGGGGAGACCAATAAAAAATCGTTAGTATTAAAAAATGGTTAAATAAGCAATTGGGTGTTATTACTGAAAGTCTCCTGATGATAACCAGAGTTTTCCGGTCGAAAAATATTGATTTTCAAGAACTCGACACCATTTCTACGAAAAATTGTTTTTTCTTTGAGCGCTTTGAGCGACCTCCAAATATTTTTTTGATTTCAAAATATAAACTTAGGGGTATACTTTTTTTCTATATAGAACAATCGTAGGGGGTTAGGGCATTACAATTCCGACTTTACTGTTTTTGCACCACCCTAATGTGCATGCATGCTTTCGTGGGATCGTTGTATTACATGGAAATAGAAAAGTGTATATGTACGAATGCAGACTCGAAGACGAAGAATTTAAATACGAATATCTATGTGTGATTACGAGTTAGAATACGGGCACGAGTTGGTACTGGAAGTACTTAGTTGTGATAAATTTCGTAATGCGACCATTCCATTGGTATTTTTGTTTCACATCAAAGCCTCGTGTGAGTTATATAAATATGCATACATATTTACCTATACATATGTACGTATAGTACTTGCATTTGTTTGAATTTAATTGACAGATTCTCGCAGGGTTTGTTGCGTATCGTACAACCCTATTTCACCCATTGTTGATGTGGCGTAGTCATGCATGAACTGCCACTTCGTAACTCGCTGTTTACGCTCCCATTTTGCTCCAGCTCTTTTGCGTTTGCGCTGTTTACACTGTTAACATGAGCGTTCTTATTGTAGTCTATTTTGCCACCGGAATTCGATGTAACCGTCTTTACATACATATGTACATTCCTAGATCTCAATACATACATACATGAGTACACATCGTCGTTTAAAGTGCAAAACCGCGTACCGTGGTTCTACAAAACCTCGTAACTGACATTTAGGCTAAATATGGATTTGCTCACCGGAAGCTCCATTCATATCAAAATATCGATATTTAGAGATATACAGGTATATTCTGAACGTTACCGCTAATTTTGTAACCGGAAAATTTTATTACCAAAAAATGTTACCACCCACTTCTTGACACTGCAATTCTAGTTACGTTGGTAATTCAGTCAAAATATAAAGCAATTCAGCTATGAAGATTTGTGAAAATTCTGAAATTGCACATTTCACAAGAGTCCACAGTATGCGAAAAGGATTTAAAAATTGTTTGGAACTTTATTTATCGGTTAAAAAATTTTTGTTACCAGCGCAGAATAGTCCTGATAAGGAAGAGATAAAAGAGAGAACCGTTTTGAAATAAGACAGCTCTTACTCTTTACGAGGTTTCGCATTATCTTGATACGCGGTTTTGTACTTTAAACGGCAATATGTATGTACATATGTATATTGTATGTAAATGGTCGCATTAGTTTCCGAATTCACTCTTCCCATTCATTTTCAGATTCGTTTCTAGAGCACTTCTCAGACCCCTTCGCAGAGACCCATATGTGCTGCTATCATTGTCATTGGTATGCCGCTGTTGCTTCGTTGCTGCTACACGAGCATTTCGAATATGAAACTTCCATTTCTCATTTCGAGTTCATCACTGTTTTTCGTTGTTTTTGCTGCTGCTTCTGCGGCTGATATTATGTTGCATTGCTCTTGCAACTTTCTCGCAACGCACTGCACATAATGAGCACTCGGGCCTGTTGTCCGCTTGGGCATTTACCTTACAGACACTCACCGAGCAGACTGTGGATGTTGCTATGACTGTAGCTGTGACTGCAGCTGACTGACTAACTGCTTGATTAGATGACTGCTTCGCTGGTTTGGCTTGACTTGTACACTGTGGCTGGCTGTGTCGGATATCGGAAAATCCGCTGCGACCGGCTCGTGCCAGTACTCAATTGACAACCAAACAGCTCACGACTGAAACGCGGGCGGTTGCAGCTATTGAATGCGATTATTGAGTCACACGAGTATTCACGGCAACAACGAGCACGATTACGGTTATTATAGTGATAGCGTCGAAGACGATGACTACCAACTAACGAAAAAACGAATGTAAATTTAATTAATGAAATCAAAACAAGAATAGCAAAGAACAGGCAAAATGTTTTTTTAAACTCACAAAGCTATGAGGCATCGGTTTCGTTGGCTCCGTTGATGATGATGATGATGATGATAACTGCAACGGCATCGCATCGATGAAATGTTAATACCTACGTCATTGTAGTATGTAAGGTGCAAATCGCAAAGTAGCCAAATTGCAAACTGACTAACGGCGACTAATGTGTTGTTCGAGGAGACGGCAGCAGCAACAGCGGAAGCATCAAAGTTTTGCAGTGCAACAGCGCTGATAGATAAAAGCAATTCTGATTTAATTTAATAAATGTGTGCTGTGGTAAAAATTGCAATAAAATTAAAAAATAAATAAATAAATGAAGTTAATAAGTACACACATGCATAGATATTTTTAGAGAAACTAAGTACAAAACTTGTCCACTGTGAAAACTTTAAACAGTGGAAACAATCTATAATTTTTACTGATCTGTGCATATATATGAACTCGCGGTAACCAGGAAGCAAAAGTGGCTAGCTGAAAAAAATTAAACTATACTTATTTATTTGTATGCACATACGCGCATATGGAAATACAGTACATGTAGTATGTATGTATATATGTATGAAAATGCTTGTTGAAAATAAATTAAAACAATAATATATTTAAATATAAAAATACATACATACATACATATGTACGTACATATACAGTTGTTAATGCATATATGTATAAAAATGGAAATGATAACAGTGAACTCAACTTTTTTCCAAAATTAGGGCCTATAGATATGGATTTCAAGCAACTCTTAAATAATTTGTCATAAATATTGCATGTTCTGATATTGCAAAAATCTGCTTTCAGGGAATCTTAATATACATACATACATATCCCACGTTTAATAATATATAGAAAAAATATTTCAAAATTTCAATTTTGTGGGAAAACTCAATCAAAGTTTGATCAATTCATACAATTGGTATACCAAAAGTTAGACGGAAAGACACGTATATTCGCCATTTTTGGGAAGTTTGTCTTCTGTTAGGCTTAGCATATTCTCCTTAACAAGCTTATTAAGTAATGGTATGTTGAAATCTTCAAAAACGTAAATGTTGAATTACATCTCTACATTATTAAACGTGCGATATGTACATACGCTTATGGCCAGCTGATTAGTTCAAGTGCCATTTTGACTAGTTTTGGCTATTTTTATTTTGTTTATTTTAATGTTTATATTTTTTATATAAAAGTTTAGCACTAGGGATGTTAATTTTTCGGCTTTTTCCGATCGCGAGATTTTCCGGGTGGCGTTGTCACAATCCCGGGATCCCGGGATTAGTCCCGGGATTTAGATATTCATTACTTTTCAACAACTTGAATCGAAAAAATTCATTCTATATTGTTTGAGAAGCTCTCCTATAATGAAATAAATAATAAATAAATGGGTTTCAAACCTACTTTTTTATTTAAAATGGCGTTTTTATTTTTTCTCTCTGACCGCAGTATTTATTTTGAAGGACTCTGTAATTTCAAAGATATGATTAATTCCAAAAATTATTAAAAAAAATTCAATGCAATGTAGAATAAAAATATGGGTAGCAAATGCAATAGGAAATTTCTTCAGAATTTAAAAAATTTAAATTTTTTGGATTCACAAGGACGAATAGGTAATTTTTAAGCTGATAAAGTTAGAAGAACGAAATTCGAGGATGTTTTCGAGTTTATATAAGCCCTTAACATATGATTTTTTCAAAAACAAATATTGCGAAATTTCAAGGATAAAATTTTAAAATGACATTTTCAATATTTACCAGCCCTTCTGCACCAGAAACTTGAGTCTCTTTTAAATTCTACAGGATTTCGTCATTAATTTTATGCCCATACTTCTTCTCTAAGCACATTTCTCTGAATTTTTTAAATCATTTTTGAATTAGTTGACGTCAGAGTGAAAAACTAAAAACGCAATTTTACTATATTTGGCCTATGATTTTGCGAATATATTGATATTTGTGTTTAAAATTTACTAATTATTAAATAAAAAAAAAAGAAATATAGCCAATACTGGTCAAGAAACGGAGTTTCTATTCTTGCCAGCAGTGCAAATTACCAATCCCGAAACTCCCGGGATTACTTGCCAAGGATCCCGGGATTTTCGATACCTTAAAAAGTCCGGGATCCCGGGACTAACATTCCTATTTAGCACTTAACCAGCTCCACTTAAATCCGCATTTCAAAATTTGTAAAAAAATGTATAAAAATTCAACAAACTTTAACATTTGCACTCAAAAATTTTAAACTTTTTATCTAGAATTTTTAGAAAAATTTTGGGTATGCAGTTTTGTAGCTCATTAAATTTTAGTAGGTGAAGTGTATATTTCAAGACACTAGAAAACGCGTTGATTTTTAATATTTTTTTTTTTGCTGATGGTGCTAGGCATTTTCCCCCATACATACGAAATTGGCCAGCATATTTTATATGGAAGAAAATGCATAACACCGTCAGCCAAGAAAATTTTCTGAATAAAAAATTTAAAATTTTCGGGTGCATATGTTAAAGTTTGTTGAATTTTCATAATTTTTGTACGAAGTTTGAAATGTGGATTTATGTGGTGCTAGTTAGGTAAAGTGCTAGACTTTTATAAAAAAAAAATATAAACATTTATTAAACAAAAGAAAAATAGCCAAAACTAGTCAAAATGTCACTTGACTTCATCAGCGGCCACAAGGGTATGTACATATGTACATACATATGTATATATGTAAATGCCATACAAGTGCATAAAAAAAGATTAAAATGTTAAGCAGTATACCCCAGGATTTTTCTAAATAGAATAAAAATAACCGTTTTTTTTTGTTAAAATGTTATTAAATAATGTTTGGAACTGCCCAAAGCCCATGAAGTTTCCATGTACATATTATTTTAATTTAATTTAATTTAATTTATTGACGCTCACACAATATGTCGGTTTTCGCCGAGCTTCTCGTCCGATTTGTGGCCTTTTTTTATTTTTTGATGTTGGTCGGAAACTGGATTGAACCCAGGCCCAGCGCACAGTGGTTCAAAACTGACATTTACTGTTCATAATTAATTTTTCAACCAATTTGATAACTTTTTTTTTTAATGAAAGCTTGTGAAATTAGTTACAGTTGAGCCCGATTTTTCAATTTTTATTGGTTTATATTCAACTTTTTAGTACAAAGTGCAGAAAAAGTAGCAATTGTGAAGAAAATCGATCCTCCTGTTCCAGTTAAAACTGTTACATAACAAAAACAATTGTAGGGTTCCCAGAAACAAAAACAAAATAATAATAATAATTTAGTGTTTAAAAAAATATTCTCCAAAAAAAAAATCACAAAAACAATTTAATAATAATAACAAATAGCCGCTTACACATATGTTAGTGTTTGGCCGAGCTTCTCCTCCGATTTGTGGCGTGCGCCTTGATGCTGTCACGTAAAGGGGAGGGACCTACAGTTTTACGCCGACTTCGAACGGCGAGTGTATTTTTATGAAAAGTTGTTTTTCACGAAAGAACCCACTCGGAGGGTTGGCACTGCCCGCCGAGGGGCGACCCCCATTAAAATAAAAAACTGTTTTCTACATTTTTTGCGATGTTGCTTTGACCAGGACTTGAACCCAGGCCCTGAGTCGTCGGAAGCGCGCACTGCTTACCACTACACCACAGCAGCCGCCAAACAATTTGAAATGTTATAAAAAAAAATTTCACAAAAATTTAAAAAAAAAATTTTAGTCTAAAAATATTGGGTATGCTGTTTTATAGACCATTCCACTTTAGTATAATAAAGTACAATTTGCAAGTAGTTAAGAGTACGCACGGGATTTTTAACCATTTACATATGTATATAATATGAATATAATCTACACCAGACAAAGAGAAAGCTTTTATTTCCCATTTAGCATGCAGATGTGCTCGAAATGTTAGCGAGAAAAATATTCAAAATCAACGCGAACTCTTAGCCTCGTGCAACTAAAATTTAATGATCTATAAAACTGCATATCCATTTTTTCTATAAACTCAAAACAAAAGTTTAATTTTGTTGAAACTTTTTTTATAGGTAACATTTCCAAATTTTTCTTGTGATTTTTTTTTCGTTTTGGGGGAACCCTACAATTGTTTTCAACTAGTTTTTATTACGTAACATTTATTAACTAGAACAACAGGATCGATTTTCTTCAAAATTACCACTTTTTCTGCACTTTGCACTAGTTTTGATAGTTTTATAAGCTTTCATAAAAAAATAATAATCAAATTGGTTGGAATGCAGGCTCCAGTGAATTATGAACAGCGAATTCCAGTTTTGAACCAATGTGCAGCGGCCGTCAATATTTTTTATATGGGGAAAACACTTTTTTGTAGAAATAGGGTAGAAGTTTTGAAAATCAATATTTTTCGATCGGAAAACTCTCTTTCTCTTCAGGGAACTTCCAATAATAATACCCATTTGTCTATTTTACCATTTTTTTTAATACTAACGATTGTATGGGTCCCCCCATTGCTTTGTTTGGGTTTTTGGGGATCTATGAAAAATGGTTAATATTAAAAAATGATTAAATAACCAATACGCAAATATTATTATTGGATGTCTCAAGATTTCAGATTTTCAAGAATTCCTACCATTTCTACGCAAACTTGTTTTTTCTCCACTTCATGGGCTTTGAATTTCATTAAAAAAACGGGTATTCTTTTTTCCATTTAGAAAAGTCTTATAGGGTAAGAGCTTAACATTTGAAATAAATGCAAGATTCCAACTTTGTGCGATATTAAAAAAAAAATCAACAAACCTTCGTAAAAATGTCGAGCTTTTTAATTAGATTTCTTAGAAAGATTGTTAGTTTGAAGTAGTTAAAGCTGGGCTATGCAAGACTTAGACTTAACTTGACTTACGTAAAACCTTAGAAACGATTACCCAGCATGTCACCTATTATCTTTTCTCTTTGTATTTGTACACGTAAAATTGTGTTTACACCAAAATGGATTCAAAATTACCATTCAAATAAATGTATTTACGCGTATCAAATTGTTTTTATTTTGTTTTCTGTATTTATTTGAAAGTTTTCGATTGCCAGATGAATAACATTTATACAAAAAAATGTAAGATAAGAACAAATGCCAAAAATAGGTGATCTCAGCTGCAGGCATTTTTTGGCAATCAGCGCTGATAGTGTTTTTACTTAGGGAACTGTACGATATGTATAGTTTTCCAAGTTTCGAAGTGAAGTTGTTGTTTTGGATAAGTCAAGTCAAGTCTAAGTCTTACATGACTGGGTTTTT